ATCGAAAAGGCTTATGGTACAACATGGCGTTTTGGAATTCTAAGAGACCTGTACCACCTTGGCGTGCGCGGAAGAATGTTTCACATAATCGAAAATTACCTGTCGAACCGGACATTCTGTGTCGGAGTGGGCACGGTTCTTTCCCAATTATTTGTCCAGGAAACAGGCGTTCCACAAGGTGGTGTACTTAGCTGCACACTTTTTCTCATCAAAATGAATTCCTTGCACTTGTCCATTCCTTGCAATATGTTTTATTGTACATATGTCGATGCCGTCCAGCTTGGCTTTAGATCTTGCAATATGGCAATGTGTGAGCAGCAGGTTCAGTTAGGTTTAAACAAGGTCTCCAAATGGGCAGAGGAAAACGGATTCCGACTGAACCCACAAAAAAGCACGTGTGTCTTGTTCTCCCGAAAAAGAGGCATGCACTCAGAACCCGACATTGAACTGAACGGTCATTGTCTGTCTGTTAATACGGAGCATAAATTCTTAGGATTAATCTTGGACAACAAGTTGACCTTCGTACCGCACATCAAGTATCTAAAAACAAAATGTTTAAAAGCCATGAATGTTTTAAAAGTGTTGTCACATACTAGGTGGGGTAGTGACAGGCAATGTCTCATGAACCTATATAGAAGCCTCATGCGCACCCGCTTAGATTATGGGCCGTTGTTATCAGTCTGCGACTCAAAGTGTTGAAGATGCTGGACCCCGTGCACCATTTGGGCATCCACCTTTCTACGGGTGCTTTTCGCACCAGCCCCGTAGAAAGCCTTTACCTTGAGTCAAATGAGTGGTTGCTTCATCTGCAAAGAACTTACATGTCCTTTGTATATTTCCTTAAGGTGAAAGCAGAAAAGAGGCACCCCTCATACTCTACTATTAATGATTTGTCGAGCTCTATTCTGTTTCAAAACAGGCCTTCAATGAGGCAGCCCTTCTCAGTTCGCCTGAAGGGTCTAGCTGAGGACACTGGAGTGTGAACACAGTTTAATGGCTCCTGTAGCATATCTGCCACCGTGGCAGTGGCAGACTATAGATTGCGATGTGTCTTTCCTAGAAGTTACTAAACATGCACCTATTGCCCATATTCGAACATACTTCTTGGAACTTCAACACAAATACACACGTCCTGAGTTCTTTACAGATGCCTCTAAGTCTAACTCCTCTGTGTCCTACGCTGCTGTTGGCCCTTCCTTTTCGGATGCTGGCCCTCTACATCCAGGCACAAGTATCTTCACAGCCGAAGCTTACGCGATACTTGTGGCAGCTAAACACATCAAGCAATTACAAATACAAAAAGCAGTAATTTATACGGACTCTCTCAGTGTGGTAACGGCTCTGCACACTCTTAAAAAACACAAAAACCCAGTCCTTGTCTCACTTTACTCCATTTTGTGCACACTCTACACACTCAAACAACATGTTGTTGTGTGCTGGGTGCCAGGGCACCGTGAGATTCAAGGCAACGCGAGGGCGGATCAGCTCGCTGCATCCGTCCACAAAAGCACTGCCCCTACACCCATATCAATCCCTGCCCTTGATCTTAAGCCGTCTCTCAAACGAAACCTCAGGGTATACTGGCAGAGCAAGTGGGATACACACACACAAAACAAACTACACGTTATTAAGCCACACCTTGGTCATTAGCTGCCCGTATCGAAATCGCGTCATACAGATATAATACTAACGAGACTCAGGATAGGACACACATACGGGACACACACTTATCTTTTGTCTGGTGACGATCCACCATTGTGTGACAAATGTGGTGAAGCATTAACAGTCCTTCACATACTAATCCAGTGCAAACACTTAGAAACTCTAAGAAAACAACATTTTACATTACCGTAGGGTAATGGAAAATGTTGTTTACAACATTGTATATTGTGACAACATATACCTTTACACCCTGCAATGTTCGTCGGTAGGGAACCGCTTTTTAGTCATAAATCATTGTTAGAGTTTTTAAAAGAAATTCATAGTTTTCATATCATATACCCGGGCATTCCGTAGCACGACCTCTCCAGAGAGGTTTTTGCTGCGGTGGCTACACAAGGAAGCACTTGCCTCACGGCCCTTGGACGCAAGGGTATGAACGAGTGAGGCACTTGTGCTAATGCCATACATATCCACCATCGTCTTTTATTATCACCAACTTTTGTCATCTATTAACACCACACGCACCTTTCACAGCATGATCATGATTTTATTACTTGTATGTTCTTACCCGCCTTACAGCGAGGAATTTTATGGCCCTTATACAGCCGCTTATCACAATCATTGTCCATAGTTTTAGTAAGATGAACTGGCGCTCTTTGGCCGTGAAATGGCCCTTGTGCCACAAAACATCAAACATCATCATCATCATCAGAACGTGTTAAACAGTGCATAAATAAAAAAAAAAGAAGTACTTATAAGCAGAATGTTTGAATGTGGCCAATGACTGGGGATACCGCTGCAAACAATCAAGCCTGTGCAAAACCGCGCAGCAAAGGGGAAGTTTCACAACTACCACTTATCGAAACCTTGACAAAAAATGCAAACATAGTAGAAAATCGTGAATCCGAAAGCATCGTCTGATGTGTCGATCTCAAAAAACAAAGAATGCCTCGTTGCCGAGATCAAATGAACACTTGGAAATGTGACCTTCTTCCTGTCTTTTTTTTACTTTGTGCTCGCGCAGTACGCTACTCGGTGAAGAAGTTGAACCAGCCAATGCATTCAAATTATTCACCATTACTTCTAACCATAGATCACTGGAATGAGAGACATAGTTCTGTCATTGATCATGGTGCCTCTGTTAATGAGCACTATGTTTTCTTCTACATATTACTTGCTTATACATATATGTATATGTGTGCACACATTTCCCCCCCTTTTTTTCCAGTGTGTATTCAAATGTCTCATCCCATTTTTTATTGTATTTTTATTATTTGTTGTGTAATAGCAGTGTTCTATTTTTTAAATCTCTTTTTTGTTCACCTTGATTTATAACAATTTTACTTTTTTTTACTTCTTCATTTGTATGTTACCAGCGTTCCCTTTTTTTCCCTTTTATCCCAACATCCTGTTCATGGAACTATATTTTACCTTACCATTTTTATTGTATATTAGCAACATACTTTTTTGCACCTTTGTTTGCATAACTGTTCGAAGCCTCCCTATGTAATGCCCAAAGATCCTGGGTATATCCACAAAAAAAGTCTCTGAGAAGAAACTGCATGCTATCACACTGCAGCTCATGGAAGACTAATTTGGTAATGCACTAGTAGCAAGCTATAACGCATAAAGTTAGCTAAGCCAGTGCCTCCTAGACAGCAGGCCCGCTCACTCTGCTATACATATCCTGCGATTTGTCCCGATATGTCCATGCGGCCACTTTCATCACGCTAGGCCGGGCAAAGTACTTTTCTCTACAATATAGGCTAAAGCAGCGTGTGCAGGCCTACTATCCATAAAGGCTGCGCTCGGTCTGTATCTCCGTCGCCAGACCCAGCTGGCCTCGGGTGCAGCATGTGCCCCGTAGCCTCGGTCATAGAGTTTCCTAAATATACACTAGAGGGAATTCTGGCGCTAGTGTCTATGGGAGCTGCAACGCACAGCGCTTCAGCGAGCAAGGCATGCAATGATGGGTAGTACATGGATTTGTCTAATCTTCGTACTTCTGGGTCCATGTGTGCTTGTGTGGCTTGGAGCTGTTTTCTCACGAAACAAAAATTAGTAAATGCTCAGCTTTTGCTCTTCACCACCTTATTCTTTTAGGCTTATCATTGCGAATCGGCTCACAGTTCATAAGGGTTCGTTCTTTCTTTCGAAACAAAACTGAAACAGCAATAAACGAAGTCACAAGTGCAATTTGCCACCCGCACGTACGAAAACTAGGCAAATTCGTGTACTACCCATCATTCCCATTGTCACTGAACGATCGCAGCGCCAGAGTTCCCTTTAGTTAATTTCAGTTCACTCTATGGTCTCGGTAGCCAGAGCCGCTCGGTCGGTCTCTCGTAGCGCAAGACATTGGTGATGTTGCAGTACTGAACTCGAAGAGCCACTAGGCAGCATAGTGGTCATTAACACTTTTGAATGCACAACTCATAAAAGAGAGCTCACATCTGATGCAGTAAATGGTAAATGTAGGCGATTTGGTGTGACACACTAGAAGAAAAAAAAGAGCCCATAAACATGATGACATAAAGAAGCATGTGTCAGACGAGTCTGTGGTACTTGTGCTCTTCTTTTCATGTTTTTTGCACTGCGTTTTCTTTTAAGTGTTGTGGTGTACACGTATCCCGAAGGAGTACGGCCACCAGCGTGGGCCCGGTCTTAGCGAGCCGCAGGGCACACGTTAATCGTTGCCGTGGCAAGAACACGATACTGCTCAAAGTCGCAACACTTTATTGTGGCAACACCAATCGCAGTACAGCCCGTTGCAAAAAAGCGCGGCGGGAAAGCAAATAGGCTTATCCACGCCACGGGCACAAAGTACTACACAGGGTGCCACGAGCACGTCTCCGCGGTAAAGGTGATCCACGGAGACACCGGGACCAAGGCCCGGTTGCTCGAGCGAGGGCAAAGGCGCTCGCGTAGGCCTCGGAGGGAGACGGGTCGGCGTAGCTAGGCCACGCACTAGGACATCGTACTGCCCTTCGGCCGTGAGTACGCAGCGGGGCAACAAAAGGTGAGCGTTCGCCTCGGGCGCGAGGCGCCGTCGGCAAAGTCCGACGAGCCCCGAGCGACGGGACTCGATGGACGGAAAAGAATGCGTGGCTCACCGTTTGAAGTCCCGGAGAGTACTGTCCGCTCCTGACGCAGCGCGCGAAAACCTCTCGGGAAGTTCTACGCGCGGCGCCACAGTCAACATCCGCTTCCGGGTGAGGGAGTTAAACGTCACTCCGCTCTCCCACCACGGCTGACAGCAAAGGAGGGCAGACATGTCGGGACATGAGAACAGCAGAAAAGGCGGCAAAGCCCGCGCAAAGGCAGCGGGCTAGCCTCAATTCCCACAGTTTTTAAATGTTCAGGAATTTCTACCCTAATCGGTTTAGTTCCTGATAAAGACATTTCCAACACTCTCTCATGAGGCAGTGCTACTGCACTGCTGCAGGGGCTGTTTGCCCAACAAGAGGACATCTACGGCAAGGACAAGACAACACAAAACAGCCACAGGGAATTGATGCACTTGGCAATCTTATAGTGGAAGCCTGGGTGTGTTGGTCATACATCACAAAGTAAGCTAACGCAAAACAAATGAGACAACTTAGAGAACATAGTTCTATTTCTGAAGATTGCTATCAGATGCCAGGGATGTACCGAAGCAAGACAATAAGTTGTGTGAGCTGCTTGAAGCTCACATTTAATAAACAGCGTGTGAGTAAACAAAGGAACTAGGACAGGAGTGCACGTCCTCCTTCTCCTTCATCTGGTAATGGACCATTTCATCGAAACACCACGAGATAAGCAGGAACAAGTTATCATTAGATCATCTTTACATGTGAAATTCATCAGCTTCCCTCATTGCAGACAGTTTCAGACCAAATCAGATTCATCAACAACAGCCGCAACATATTGATCTCCATTGGATGAAGCTTGCCAGGAATAGCAAGGCTGTGCAGGGGACTCCCCAGGACGCAGTTTGACATGTCCTTCAGAGAACGACGTGGGATCTGCTGCGTTTCTATACCAACACAAGCCAGACCGACACAGGCACTGTCTTCGTCATAGGCTGGAACCAAGAATGCAATTGAAATGTTGGTGCGTTGAATATAAAAAAGCTATTTATGCTGCTCATTTTTAAGGGCAAAGCTCCTTAGGGTGTGGCTCGTTCCCTCCTTGGTTTGTATGTAGTATCTATGTAGCCACCTCTAGTTTATGAATTGCTTATTAGATGGCATTAGTAGATTTTATATAGTTGATGTTCAAAGAGGATAAATGGTGCTGTTAAAATTAAGAAATTCACAGAACATCCACAGAGTGATTAATGATGAGTAGGGCGATGCATCCGTCGGTCCGTCTGATGCAAGTTATAATGTGATAGGAGCGGACGGGCGGACAGACGCTCCACTCATCATCGCTCACTTCGTGGATATATACTGTGAATTTTTCTTCTGGACGAAAATGAGCTGGCATACACGGTGATTTCAGTGCATGCAGAATAATGAAATACGTTGTGTACTTCCAAGCTTCTGTCTGCGTTCTTCATTAATGTAGGCCGAATTTCATCGCAGACCCCTCTCCTCCTCATTGGTCGAGTCCAAATGATGTGCCTCTCGCAAATGGCCTTCCTTTAGCCGCGAGCTTGTTGTGATAAAATACAGGAACTGCATGGTTCCTGGAATGCAACATCAGAAGTCGTCGGCTGCTCATTATTGTCCAAGACTGGCACATTCATAAGCTTGTACTTCGAACGATCGATTACAGAAGAGGTCTGGATATGTAAAGATATGGGGATGAGACAGCACGTTCCCTAGAGGATTAGGGTGCTGCCTAATCCTTCCTGGTGTATTTACAAACATCTGTCCAGCAAGAGCCATGGTGACAGATCACCATTGTTCAGAGCTGAACCTAAGGCATTGTCACTTCATTAATGTGCTTATGTGGCTACAATTTAATAGACTGTATCACAGACAGGCTTAGGTGCTGCCACCTTGAACTATCAGCAATGCCATCTTACATTTACAGCAAAAAAATGTCACCATAGTATACCGATACGCATACGCACAGCTAAGGTGGACGCACTCAATGCTTTATGACCTCAATTTGTGGTTGTGACACAAAATTTAGAAATCGTTTGCCTAATAGATGGAGAAGGTGCCAGTCATGAATCTAATGTAAATCTGGGCATAACTAGCAGTGTCAGAACATCCTACTATGGCTCACGTAACTTTGATGCAAGAACGCCTTCAGATTTTTTTACCTGGAGTATCTCGATCAGCTGGGAGGCTGCTTCTGCGACTGTCATGAAGCGTGGTGGCTCATAGATGTCTCGACCTCTGGAAAGACGGCGAGCAATGAATATGTCTTGGCTGCCCACCTAGTGGATTGTGACTGCCTTGGCAACATGTTGCTATGTTGAGCACCACAGGCTGCTTTGCTTAACAACACATTCGTAGTACTTCTTTGAGAGACAACTTTAGGGAGAACCTACAGACAATGAAAATGAAGCCATGGGATGTATAGGGGACGTTATTTGTAGTATTTTTACTGTACTGTAGAAATTATGATACAAACCAAAAAATCGAAGTACAAAAAAAAAAGAAAAGTTGCCACCAACAGGGTCAGAACCTGCAAACTTTGAATAACATGTCTGTTTGAACAATTGAGCTCCTGCAGTTTTCAGAGTTCTGCAGTTGTCCGAGCTCACATGCAAACCTGGGAGCGTAAGTCGGCATTGCTTACAGTCGCGATGGCGAGTATAAAACATGCGATGTCATGGTTGTTATAGCAGAGACCTCACTAGTGAAGAAAAGTTGCTTGGCACAGCTGTTTTGTGTGAACCTCCATGGAAGAAAACTTCTGAGACACTGAAGGGCAATGTAATTAAGTACGTATTATCGAAACAAAGGTCTAATTACACTGGAAACTTGGACATTTTCTGTGGCAAGCACCTACAGGCGATTTCAAGCACATTTTTCACCACTTTTCATGCCTACTCAAAGACATAATATACTCTCAGTTAACGGAAATTTCTTGAAAGGGACCAACTGGCTGGGATGCACGATGAGATGAAGAGACTGTGAATTATAATGACAAACTCAAGCATCCTTTCCTCGATTTGAATACGATTTGTATTTTTTATTTTCATTTAAAGGTATCAGAGAACCGGTATGCCACACAGCCCTGTGAAAGACACTGAAATATGGATCACATCGTCTGTCATCTTGCTTTATACAGTACACTCATTAAATGGGACAAGAAGGGATTAGCAAAGTGTGTTCCATTTGACAGGAGTTCCATTTACTGAGAGATAAATATGGGGGCAGCATCCAAGCACAGGACCAATCATATTCTGATCAGTGGTTTTATTTAAAGGGACACTAAAGTCAAATAACAATTTACGTCAGAGTGAAAGCTCAATGTATGACAACATCTGAAATGACTATATTATGAACAGTGCCCTACTTACCGAGAAATTAAGGTAAATGCACAAGAACACAAGCGCTGCAGAAAGACATTTCCAAAATGATCTCTATGACATCAGATGAACTGTTTACAATTAATCAGTAGTAATCGATCTAACTGCACTAATTAAAGAACCTTCTGTGCATAAGGAGACGTAATAAAATGCTGTTAATTTCTGTTTAATTCATGGAAAAAAGAACCGCCGGACGTTACTATGGGAAATGCGCAAGCGGTTTGGAAATTCAATTTTGGCCTGGTTACATGGGACAGGCGGTGCCTTCTAGCGGGGCGCAGTTGAAACAAAAGCGTCTGCAATCTCGAAGCCAATGGCGGGAAATTGATCAATAACCGTTGTTGCTGCTATGGCTCTTGTTGCTTTCGGTCTGCTGCTACTAGCACAGTAAAGCAGGGCAACGTTGTGCATGGCAATGTTGTGCACGGCAACAGTGACGTGAGACGGTCCGGTCGGTCCGCTTCTTGAGGCAGGTAAATTGAAGTGCGCTAACCCGATGCGGAGCACTAAAATGGGATTTTATTTCAAAATAGGCTCTTCCTTGGCACTAAAGTAGCACTACGAGGTTTCTGGATCGCCATTTCAACAATCAACGTCAACTTAATAGTTGGCTTTAGTGTCCCTTTAAGCAAAAGTTACGCTTAACAAACATCCGTTTAACACGAATCTGCTGCAATTTGATGCTTTTATGCACACCATAATTAGAGAGTGTATATCATCATAAATTCCCAATTTTATGCTACTGAAAAAGTACAACATCGCAGAAGAAGGCCCTGCAAGTGCTTAGTGCGATTTTTGCAATAGACCAGCCTTTCCTAACGACGCCAGCCAGAACGCCCTTCCTGTGTGTGCATTCCCCCCCCCCCTCCCAATCTCTTTTTTTCTCACTTTCTACACCCTCTTTCATGCCCCTATTTCCTTGCTCTAGTGCTGGGTGGAAAACTGGATCCTGATATCTATTTAACCTCATAGCCTTCCTCTTCATTTCTCACTCTCTCTCGCAATATTCTTTGTGCTGCTTACAACGTAAAAGGAGTTGCATGCTGAGAAGTGGTTTCGTGGCAACTAGTAGAACTTATTGAGCGCGTGGAGCACGAGCATGCGCCGCGAATTGCCACGCACATACATTAACCACACTCGCATCTCGCTGTTTGCAACATGTGAAGGTGTGATAACTTCACAGCGGGCACAGATTGAAACGCTTTGATTATAAATTTTTCACCGTGTTTACCACATTATAATTCCGTGATTAGACACTGTCATAGGTAAACTTTTCATTGTGCTAAAGAAAAAGAAAAGGTACCATAAAATTGGTTGATAGTCCCTTTAAATGGAATCATTACTTAATGAAACAACCACTCACTAACATGAATAATTTTGTACTTGAACTGTGCACTCCTGTTCATCTTTCAGTAAATGAGACATTTCTTTAGCCAGGGGGCAGTCCTCTGAATAAAAAAAAAAAAAAAGAGACTCCTGTTAAGCAGAAAGTATCTTCCTGGTCTCTTCAGTTTTGATTTAACGAGAGCTTACTGTAAATGATTATTTATATACTAGTAACAACATTTATATCGCACACTTATAAATGTTGAGATCTCTTATTGTTTGTCTTCTTTGTCATGTGGCGACCAACGATTATGCTACTGAAAGCAAGTAGGATAAACAGGCACTGACCGAATTCACGATCACAAGAACATCATCAGTAACTGTATTATTCATCACTGCTATGCCCACATCCGCAATGTCGGAAGATGGAGAAATGCTCTCCTGGTGTTGATCTGCGGTTGTCTACACAAAGTTTCACTTTCGTCTTCATTCACAGGATGTAGTACCTGGGACGCTACACGCCCGCTCTTTAGAACACTGCGTGCCTACATTGATTCCTAGTCTTGTACTGGGCCTAGGCAGCTCTAGGCATCGTTAATTATTAGCCATCCTGGACACAACACCATTGGGTATTAATTTGATTGAACGCTTGTTTTAAAAGCTTGAAGGTCATTTCAAAAACTCTTTGCTTAACAAAGTATGTTTTCAGTATTATACCCCTCCTAGGTGTACTAACTCGGTTATAAACATGATTTGCTGCATCTGTACCCGAGTGCAAATAATGCACGACACGTAATGAAGTAAAACCAAAGCTATTGCTTGCGGCTATATTCTTAAATTCATTATAATATGAAAAAAAAGAATGTTTTCATGCTGGATGTGACTGTTGTGATGAGGTTTATGACGTCACCATCACAATGAATGGTCATATGCACTTAGCTCGTGACATACAAAAAAATGGAACGACAGTTGCATTACACTAACTTGATGAGGTTCTCTATCGACTTCTCTTTCATTATGATGTCTGCATGGACAGCGCAGAAAGCCAAGAAAACATCACCAACTGATGCCAATGTTTCTCAGAGCACTCAGCATTAGTCAAGTGACTACTTGATAAGGTGAAATAAAAATGTGTACCACAAGTTCATCTGTATTACAACTCACTATAAGAATAGCCTAAAGTGGCACAGACTTGCACCATGATTGTGAAAGTATTTTCTTGACATCAACAGCATGGATTGGAGAGCAAACGCGTGCAGATGGATTAGGTGAACATTTCAAAGTGGTACCACACAAATATTGCAAAACCTTGAGCAGATAACCGGCCACACATCGTACAAAGACTGGTGAAAGGTGAAGAGACATAGAGTTCATGAGAGATGATGACAGGGAGTGATATAATTAACAAAATTCTCCAGTAAACTAAAACACGTTTATGCTAGGAGTAATCAAAAAGGTTGTAGAAAATGTTTTTCACAAAGCTAATGGAATTGTGATGACTGTTATGAAGGTGCTTAGTACTAATAGTAGCAATCATATCACAGCATGTTGTAAAATTGTAAAATTCACACTAGAGCACTCAGTGCATCAGCTGCACTTAGTGGATCTGATGCACTGGTTACACAGAGTGATTACATACAGTTCAACCGACGAATGATAAAGTTACAAAACCAGAAAAGGAATTCGTGATTAAAGTATGAATCTGCCTGCGACAAGTACAGTAAAATCTCAAAAGTTAAAACCGTTTCAAAAAGGCCGAATTTTCCTGACTGCATGGCTGGTCCTGACAATCTTGTACAAACTTCAATAGGAAGAAAGGACCACAAATTCGAACTCCAAAGCCACCCAACTGCCTCTGTATCTTTACGATTTGCTACAGCAACTTTGCTTATGGGCTGAAAGATTCCCATGGCAGTGGTCAGACACTAACTTTGTTGCGTGGATGACAAAACGAGACGAACATGCCTTGTGCATCTGCACTGTTAGTGAGTAATACACGTCACACAAAGGTGTTTATTCAACTGCCTGGTTATTCTGTTTTTGTTTTTACACTTCTTGTTTTCTTCAGTTAATGACAGAGGGGTATTGAAAACACAGAATCTTCAATACCTTAGCATGGTTGAATAATCACCAGAGTTCCTCTTTAATGCCGAGGAACGTACCACTGGTTATGTTGCTAAAAGAACACTGCTGATTAATCAACTCACCTTCTATTCTCTCTCATGTTGTGATTAATCAACTCACCTTCTATTCTCTCTCATGTTGTTACACTCTAATTACATCCTAAGCATCTGCTTTAGTACTGGGGCCCCGAAATGGCTTGCAAACGCAAGCTGTCGAGTACTTCCTGGGTGCAGTTGGCGAACAAAAGAAAGTGCAGTGAGCACAATAGATTGCTAGAAGATTGAGACCCAACAACTAGGGTTCTGCTGCACTGAAACTCTCAAATAAGTGAGCAGGAGAATGTGACAAGAAGTGGCACCACAGTTCTGTGCGCTGTGGAAGTTGTAAACGTAGTGGCATTGGGTACAGCTTTGAAGGTCCGCGGCATTTTCTTTACAAAGACAGGTGCACACAAACCTGCACCAACAGGCGTGCACTCCAGACTGATGTCATGAGTTGAGTGGTTAGTGACCCTGCCTTTAGAGAATTTTGCCAAGTGCACCCGTGGGACCACTTTGTTAGCCACGGATGCGCTTGGCTGCCACGATTCGATCATCTGGATGGAGCCTCTCCAGAAGGTTGTATACAACTACTATAGTATCACTAAAGATATACGACCTCATGACTGCAAGACACGCAGCACAGTTCCCTGGCATGCAGTAGTTTCGATGCAGGTGGCATTTTTTTCTCACCGAGGAGGCTTAGCATGTGGAGACCTCGCTGGGGGGTGGAAGCAATCTTGTCGTAGTAGCTGTGTGGCTGCCACGTGTCTGTCCACATGACGATAGATACCGTCTCACCAAAGCTGTACAGCTGGATGGATAGAAGTAGTTAGTTACATCCTAACACCATATATATGCTCGAGGTTGTTTCTTTGGAGATTACCGAGTGCCTTGCAAGCAGTTAACAAAGTAAGACATAAGCCACCACATGTTGTTGTCTCACCTATTCCTTTCCATTTTGTTACAGCCAATAATTGTATTGAAAATCATTTCAACTATCTGTATGTTCCAACTGAAATATGAGGAATGACAGTTCATCTCTAACCCACACTGGCAGCTTTCTACTGTTTAATATCAATCAAACAGACTTCTGTTTCGGAACAGAAATTGCATTACAGCGACCTCACATTTCTTGCTAGGACTGAAGCTTCGCTGGTACTTCTATGCTCATAACAAGGAAAAAAAACAGTGCACGATTCTGACAGGACACAAAATGAAGATGGCACGGCAACAGTTGTAACATCAGAGTTGTAAGTCAACGCTCTTGTCGTTTCTTTCTTGTCTTGTGTCATGTCAAAATTATGGACTGTCTTTTGCCTGATATCCACATTCCATGTCTGTTATTTAAAGTTTTTTTAATAGTTTCTAATCACTTGTTTACATGCCCTGTTTTAGTGTCACAGCGGGGCTCAAACTTTGCATTAATAAAATTTCAGACCAGTGCCTTGTGAGCAGGTCATCTACCACATCCTCACATCTTTTGTCCCTATGCAGATCTAATGCAAACGAGGCGTCGCAAGATTGCCGCGTGCTTTAATCAGGTGACTACTAGTCAATGCACATTACGCACAAGGCCAGCCACACCGTAAAAATGGTAGCAGTCGTGATTAGAAAAAAAATAAGGACACTTGGCTGATCAACCTGGACAATAGGAAGCGCACATCACAGCCAGGAAACATACGCACGCACCGTGCCCAAAAACACGGCCAGCAGTTGAAGGTATCCTCCTAGGTATGAACAGTGTGATCCCCAGCCAAGCTTGAGATATGTGATGAAAATGAAACTTTTCCACTGATGATTGTAAATAGTAGACTCTTAGTAAACCTAACAAGTAGACTCCCAGTTCTAATAAAGAATGCTTTGCAGGATAATGCAGCATGTTTCATATTATTTAACGACTATCGCTCTAGCAATGTCATATTAATGAAATGCGCCCTTTCCTTGCGATGAGAACTATGGGACAGTGATGCCAAACAATGTACAGGAATTGCTACTAGCAGTAACTGTAACGTAAATGCAGAAAAATAAAAGTGCATGAAAAAATAACTCGCCGCTAGAAGAGACTGAGCCTGCGACATTTGAATAACGTGTCCGACGCTCTACCAACCGAGCTACAGCGGCGCTCTTCTCTCCGTCCACTTTATAGGACATGCCATGTAAAAGGCGAGTCAGTGGTGCACACATTAAAGCTTTGTGTTTGGTGGCACTGCTGTCCCGTTTGCTATTCGAAAGCGCTTCTCGATGTGGACTGTGAGGAAGTACTTCACAGTTCTGTGTGCCGACAGGGTTGAAAGTCGCACATGCTAGGTGGTGATAGTTGCACTTGTCAGCTGGTCGTTTTTGGAGCCATCTCAAACTGACACTCAGACTGGTCAGTAATGAACCTGTAACTAATTATCCGTTGCATGCTGCAGCAAACGATGCAACGTGTTATGATTAACAGACCTCCAGCAACATATTGTAGCAAAAAAAAAAAAAGAAAAAGCAATGCAAGAACACACAGTGGCAAATATAAAAAAAACATTTTGTATCAGTACCCCTTTAAGAAACATCACGACGAGTGCACGTGTTTAGGTGACAACCTATCTTTAACTAACGTGGGCAGACTATTCAGAACAGCCAGGTTGGTGTAAAAAAAAAAGCGAGGTTGCCAGAACGCTGCCCCAGTTATAGTCACAAAATTGGTAAGTCGAGAAACAATGTGCTGTTGAAGCAACTAAAGGAATGTTCCTTCCCCAAAGAAGACTTATCACACAGGCCTTTCTGTCATGTAGCAGTGTAAGTGCCCACTCAATTATCTCGAAATTGCAGTTACTTAGATTTGACTAGCCGCAGGCGTTGTAGCTCATGTGCTGTTGCATAGGATGGGAACAAGGAATGTTGATTTTACACTACGATTCTTGGCAACAGATTCTCTCTGTTGATCAGCAGCCTTGACATTGCTTCTTTTCGATGCTGGTGATAAAGAGTACCAGTACCAAAGCAGAAATACAACTGGTGTGATGAAGAAATGGGCCCAGGTGCAGACACTACCTATCATAGTATTTGTAGGAGAAAAATGTGTGCGATGCGACGTCATTTTATAGGGTGCACTTCGCATGTCTTGGCTGCCAGTCTTTCATGCTTCCGATAGTTGTTGTTGCAGCCAAACAGAGTGCAGTGGTAACCTGTTGACCTGTTCACATCCGACAATTCTGCTCATTTTCGGCGCACAATCGCTTCAGCGGGTTGAAAAATTGAAACACGTTGACCTCTCACATGCCATGCCAAGCAAAACGTGGGAATTCGCACGCTCTGGTAGTGGTGAAGCGGCCGGATATGTGGGGTTGGAAAGGAAACGAAATGCCCTGGTGGGAGGCTACATTCCTCCCATATGTCAAAAGCACATCAGCCATTTGTGAATGAAAAATCCCTCACAGACATGCTAACTACGGTTGCCAAATGATGAGCTACTCACTGTCACTAACATGAAATGGTTTCCTACGATACAGCATTTATATTGCTCCTTTGTAAAAACATTTTTCTACTTGTTTTAAAATGCAAATCATCATGATCCTGCAAACCATGTTTTTGTTGTTTAATAACTAATGATCTCATGCTGCTTTTTGCTATGTTGTCAAATAGTGCACACGCCTATGGCGTTCGTCTAACAGCATCACTGTTTCGACTTTCGTAATGTCTCCCGTGATGTCAAAATAAATTTATGTCAATGATGTCATCCACAAACAACAAAACATGCCAGAAAGTGTGGCAATTTGGGCTAGTTGGTATGACATGACGATATTTATAGCGCGAGAACAAAACAGAACAGAATGACTTGTCTTTTTGTCGTCGCTCTGTTCTCGCGCTATAACTATCATGATGCCAGTAAGGTCATGTTATTTCGAGTTTTTGTTCTGATGTTCTGAGTTTTTGTTGATTTGTTCTGATGTTTGTTCTCGATGTTATTTCGAGAACAAAACAGAACAGAATGACTTGTCTTTTTGTCGTCGCTCTGTTCTCGCGCTATAACTATCATGATGCCAGTAAGCTCATGTTATTTCGAGCCTAACACAGTTGCACATAACGCAAGGAGCTCCTCACCTGAAGGCTGCAGCAGCCGACTGCTGTCAGAATAGAGGCGTTGTGAACACCTGCGTCTTGACACCTCGTTCGTGAGCACAAAGCATCAGGTCAGAGTGCGTGGTGGCACTGAGAATTGCAGTTCAACCAAAAGAACTTGAAGGCACATCAATCTAGGTGGCGACACCAAGGACGCGCTGACACAAGTGGTGCCTTTCTTTTCGACGGTGATTGACCCAGCAATCGCTCGTGCATCTGTATCTTTTTTCTCCACAATTACATTGGAGCTGCCAAAAAAAAAGCTTGGTACCCAGACGTGCAACATTCTGCTGACAAGTTGTCTGCGACTTCATATTATACTTCAAATGTACTATGCTCAGAAGCAAGCATTCAATCACTCCGAAAGCAGCGTCGCCAATCTAGAAGGTTTCAACTTTGATCAATACTCCTCTGCAACATTTGCTCGAATGCACAGTGGGCCACTAGAGAATATAATTCGGTACAGGATGTGCACGAACACCAGAAGAAATGACAAATAGCGCATAGTGCCTTGTGTGCTTTGTTTCTTCTCGAGTCTATGTCGCTTAAGTGAAACATTCTGCCCACAAATGGCGTACCCCCACGAGCCCAAATATCAATTTTAGTGAGCTACACTGGGCCACCTTGCAAAAAGCGGGTTGTTGGGGAGGACCAAATCACATACCCAAACGGATAACCGACTACCAGAAATGCCACCTCCTCTTCAACGGCAGCTTCAAGCATATCAGCTGGGAATATAGCAAATATAATAGTAAATATAAGAAAAAGTTACTTTTGAACCAAAACAGAAAAATGGGCAAACTACAATTGTAACTGACATCCCCTGCTGCCCATGCAGCGATGGAAGTGACTTTTTACTTATAGGAGCAAACTTTGGTGAGAAAAGTATTGCTTTGGAGCAGTCATAAGTGTTTTCCGAGTGGAAAAAGATGTGTTCAAAGCATCGTCGAAGCATCTCCTAAATAATAATATTTGTTATAAAATATATTTTACAGAGAACAATCAATGTATATTTCAAGAAGCAAACAATCGACAAGATGATTGGTTTTCAAAAATGCATTTTGAAATGCGCTATATAATTAAAATACTAGTATTTGTAGCAGCAATCAAATCAAACTGATAGCACTGAGCACCACATTTTAGAAGTAGCCACAGTTCCACATAACTATTTCGAAATAAGCAGTGGCTAATCAGTATGATATAAAGGCAAGCCTGCTCATCTTCCCATTTCATCACACTAGCCTGCAAGTCTAGCTAAAAAAAAAAAACAGCCAAATGAGCTATATGCTTAATACGCGAGTTGTCGCACAAATGAGATCAAAGCCAATAATGCTGCACATTTGTAGCATACTGGGATAATAGTATACGGATTCTTTTAAGTTTTTCTTTAGGCCCTGTCAGCTGGTCGAACAGTGAAAGTTCATTATTCTCATTCTCTCAGTGCCATTTTGGAGCAGGTTTGAAGCAACTATGAACGAAAATTGTTCTTAGGAGCAGAATTTATCTTTGGAGCAGTTTAGAGCAGCACTTCCATTACTGCACATGTGACAAAACAAAGCTATGTTCATACAACCTTAACTATTCATTCTTTGCTTTCTTGTGTCAGTGGGCCTTTTTCAGCAGACGAGTCTGCGCCTGCGCGGCAGCGCCTTACACACGACGTTTGTCTGGGGGGGGAGGGGGGGGGGTCACTGAGTGGCACCTGGCCTCGCAGGTTTGCAAATTAGTATCACGAAAAATAGCAGATTCCCAAGACCGTTCACTGAAGCACAGCAGACAACTTCAGAGGCCACTGACTCTCAGCTTCGATTTCTTTCTACTATCTTCAGTGGGGCAGTCTTCAGACCTGAAAGAGTCCATTTAGATGAAATGTCACAAGGACGTAGTTAAGTGCAATACAGTACTAGTATTAATTAATGTCACTACACAACAAAATCATATGAAGAGCAATGTTACTAGGGTTTTTTTCATAAGCTGCAATAGCATATTACATCTGGCTTCCGTAATAATGTTCAATAATACAATTCAAGTTTTACTGTCCAATTCGTTGCAATGTGTTTCACAAATGACAAGGTGAAACAGTATTAGTCAGCTGCCACACGCAAGAATGAATTTGCAATCGAGAAGGCACTGAAGATATGGTAGCAATGTTGTTACAAGGCGACGGCTTTGTATTCTGGTAACATTGAGCCTGTTTCTGTAGGAGAATCTACAGCTGATGACCGTATACATTTTGGTATCCTCACAACGACACACACAAAATACAGCTTACTGAGAAGCAATCTGTTAACACTGAGAGTACCCACATTTCAGTATACAGCCATTCTTTATGTACTCTTAATTATGCAAAAATTATTTGAATAGTGTATAACAAGCTGCATGTAACAAACTGTGTTATTTGCAGTGAGAATTTATAGTTAGTTTTTAAACATTGATAAACATCGAATGAATGAGACATGACAGAAATATACTAGGTATATGTCATACAAGCCTCTATGCAATCTGCAAGTGAATCTAAGAAACATCAAGTTAATAAAAATATATCTTTATGTGAAATCGTTAAAAAATTGCTGTTTTAAGAAGGAATGGTGGATGCAAGCGGAGGATGGGAGTTTTATCACTTTTGTAGAAAGCACTGTGTGTGCCCATGAGAGCAGGTCCAAGGGACTTACTAGGCATAATTTTTCCCCAGGTCGACATCCTGATGTCAAACTATACTGCCACAAGTACAAGCCAAACATGCCACACTGGTATGATGCTTGGCCCGTTGGTAAAGGTAAGCATGTACAGTGATTCGGCCCATTCTGATAAATTACCTAAGAAGGCCGATGTTTACACATGAGTAACATATTAAAAACAGGCTTGTTAACTGGTAATCGTGGTAGACACACTTGCAACTTGCAAGTCAGCAAGTTTCCTCTTGCATGCATGATCTAATTACAATATTGAAGACAACCAGCAATAAAATACTAGCTTATGAGAAATGCTTGGACTAGTGTAGATTTTGAGAAACTTGTAGCGAACATTTACTGAAACATTTGTATTGCATTCATATACTATGTAGCAAAAAAAAAAAAACCAGGTGCAGACACAATTAAGAAACTCGTACACAGTATGAGAACTGGTTCTACGTATGTGTTCCTGATGTCTGCATCTGCTTTTTTATTTTCTACGAATCAAGTGACTCAAACCAACTAGCCCCCACCGCCGCTTTGGCTGTTCAAACATGTTTTGACATTACGTGCAAGCGCATCCTTGATTGCTTTAGGTAGAGATATTGCTCTCAGAAAAACTTTTCAATTTAACAGTTCACTATAACAAACTATTCTTCAAGAGGAAGGTATATAACAGTTGCATCTTGCCGGTACTTAGCTACGGAGCAGAAACCTGGAGACTTACAAAGAGGGTTCAGCTTAAATTGGGGACGATGCAGCGAGCTATGTAAAAAAAAAGTGGTAAGCGTAACCTTAAGAGACAAGAAGAGAGCAGAGTGGATCAGGAAACAAACCGGAGTTAAGGATAGCATAGTTGAAATGAAGAAGAAGAAATTGACATAGGCCGGGCAGGTAGCACGTAGGCAGGATAACCGCCGGTCATTAAGGGTAACTGACTGGATTCTCAAAGAAGGCAAGTGGATTAGGGGGAGACAGAAAGTTAGGTATGCAGATGAGATTAAGAAGTTGCGGGTGTAAAATGGCAGCAGCAAGCACAGGACCAAGTTGACTGGCGAAACATGGGAGAGGTCTTTGTCCTGCAGTAGACGTAGTCAGGCTGATGATGATAACAAATGGAGCTGACACCAAATTTCGGTCAATTGATCTCTGTTGTGCCATCACATTGAAAGAAAGTCCCTGTACTGTACGTGAAAATTCCACACCTGGGAGTGTAGCTTAAAATAAGTTAAATGATCGGGCATGTAATCTGAAGATTGTAAGTTTGGTTACTGCAGGTACGAAGCTGTCTTTTCGTCTTTGTTTTTTTTTTTGTCAAACTTATATCACAATTGGCTGGCAGTACACAGGAGCCGCTGTGTGAATCGAGCGAGAGAGCTACATCTTATTTTCGCGTCTGGGTGCTATGGGAGGCAGCCCAAGAAGAGCTAGACCTACTTGAGATGGCACCACAAGTTTGACAGAATGACCAGATGGGAGTATTTGGGAAATGCCCCTCGTTTCTTGTGTAGGTGAGTCTCGTGAAAATAACATTTGACGGCACTTTCCACAAATCAGTCATGGTTTCATGGTTGCCCAACTGCCAAGAAGTTCGTTGCATGGTACATGTCAGAAGACTTTAGCTGTGTCGTCTCTATGGTTGCATTCTCTCTGCTTCACGAAGCTTTTGACGTTGCTTCAATCCAGTGTAGCTCTCTCGCTCAATTCACACTGTGGCTGTCTGTGTGCCGCCAGCCAGAGCACACACACGTGAAAATAGATTTGATGCCAGTTTGACAGTAAGATTTTGATGCTGTGCTAAGTATTGGTGACTACCTGCCACAAGGGTCTAGTTGTTATGGTACTGAACTGATAGCCTCAAGGACGCTGTATTGAATCCCGACCGTGGCGGCTGCATTCTCAGTAGAGACGAAAATGGTTGAGGCCCTGTACTTAGATTTAGGTACATGTTGAAGAACACCATGCGACCGAAATTCTTGGCACCCTCCACTATAGAATACCTCATTATTGCATCACTGGTTTTGGGTCATTGAACCCAAACCAACGTCATCAGAATAAATGCACATCACTTATTCAAGGTCGATGGTGTTGGAAAGCGCGTGCGCTTCTGAGGAATGAGCTCCTCCTTAGATGGATGGTCATAGATGAGGGATATATGCCATGGCTTTGCTGCCTTATTGCTTGTCAATCTCTCCTTATATGATGAGAGTTTGCGGAGGTCCATGGCATTTTTCAGCAGCTCTTCGACGCATCCTGCATTGTGTAGACAGACAAAGTCACTATCATGCCAGGACACATTACAAGATGAAAGTAATTATACCATATTTACTTGATTGTAGGTCAACCTACCTTATGAATGGTATAGTTTGTGGCAGGAGATCTACAATGCTTTACTGACTCGATAGCAACGGTGATCCTGTTTTTTTGTCGTTACTGCTGCAGTGTGCTCAATGATGTTTTTGTTTTTCTGGCGCAATGATCTCTTCATTACCTGTTGTCAAAGACTCTTCTTTTTGCCCTGTGAAATTCATCTCTGTTGATTCGTCTGGGGTGTGCAGTCTAATAGAAAAATTGACATTGTCTAGCCCTGCGGGCAACAACAATAATTCAAAGTTTCAAAAAATACAAAGCTTTATTCGTCTGTTTTGCTCGCTGAACTTTTTTCGCAGTCTTTGCAGTCTGCCACTTTGCCAGATGATTGGAAGGTGGGTAAGGTGGCTCCACTTCACAAATCAGGTAAAACCCATTCCTCCCGATATTACAGGCCAATATCTTTAACCAGTTTACCCCGCAAACTTCTCGAGCATGTCATCTATTCGAACTTAATATCTTGAATCCAACTCGTTTTTTCCCCTTGTCAACACAGATTTAGGAAGCACTTCTCTTGTTGAATGCAGTTATTTTTTTTCTACAAACGATCTTTTTCGTGTTTCCAACGACAATTTCATAACCGACTGCATATTTTTAGATTATGCCAAAGCCTTCGATTCTGTTTTACATACTCTCCTTCTCCTTAACATGAGCAAGCTCAATATAGATCCAAGCGTCCTAGACTGGATTCAGTGTTTTCTAACGAACCAACTTCAGTACGTTTATGCTAACAACTACAACTTTCCTACTGTTGCTGTTACATCAGGTGTACCGCAGGGTTCGGTTTGAGGCCCTTTACTTTTTCGTATTTATATTAATTATTTATGTGTGGGTACAAACTCAAGAAATAGGCTCTTAGCTGACAATTTCGTGCTCTATCGTGTCATTCATAACCCGCATGACGTTTCTGCTTTGCAATCATTGACATTGACACCATTTCAAACTGGTGCGACAAGTGGCTCATGAAATTAAACACTGCCAAATGTTAAACTATGAGAGCAATGCATCCCAATAAAATTAGCAACAACTTTTCCTATACCCTTAACAGCCTCACTTTAAACCCTGTTAGTAGCTACCGCTATCTTGGCGTACATTTAACTCACAATCTTTCGTAGAGTATGCACGTTGAAAAAGTAGTTATTAACGCAAATTCCACGCTTAGTTTTCTTCGACGTAATTTTTCATCTGCTCCATCAGACTTAACACTTAGACTCTACACCACGCTCATTAGATCCAAATTGGAATACTCTTGTTCTATTTGGGACCCATCTATCTCCGTAATATGTGCAGCTGTTCAATCTGTTAACCGTGCCGATCGTTTTGTGCTTTGCAATTACTCTCTTTATGCCAGCGTATCTGCACTGAAAGCTAATATAGGTCTACCAACAAAGTCACCTTGTCAGTACTTCCGCTTAAACCATTCTTCATAAATTTTTTTTATGAAAACCCAACACTCAAAAATGACCTTTTCCTTCCCCCGGACTACGTATCTTCATGATTGGATCATAAGTAAAAGTTCCCTTATGCCGCACTAACACTTGTTATGCTTCTTTTCTGCCACTAACAAGCAGTGACTGGAACCACGTTCCTGCCTCCGTAGCTACGATCAAAGAACCTGCCCCCTTCAAAGCTTCAATATTAACATATTGTTCAACCACTCTTCTCTGTAAGGACTTCAGGCCCTGAGAGCATGAAAATAAATAAATAAATAAATCCACATTTGGGGGGGGGGGGGGGGGGGGGGGGTTCGTGTGACGATAAAAAATTAATCTAGTGCAGCTGGTGACCGCTATTAACACAAGAAGCACGCATGCTGTGGCATGGTTACAACATTATATTTTCCTTGAGGCTCTGCTTTTATCATATACTTACTGTATGCTTATTTAGGAGAATTTTTTTTCCCTTTAACCATTATTTTGCCGTTGCTTTCCATCTGGAGTGCCACAGTTTGTTAGAAGCGCATCTCTTTACTTACAGCCAACAGTTCTTACCAGATGTGCACTCCTTTTTTGAACTGTCATTACTAGCTGAACCAGCTGAAAGCTCCTCTGCAATGGTGACATTACAGAAAGTATGGGTTACCTTCAAGTCTCCTTATACGAAATTATTGAAAACGAGCTGATACAGAAGCCAAGGAAGGTATAGAGGATGTTAATTGTACTCTTTTATTGGTACTGTAGTAGTAATTGGGAAATAAGTGTGACAAAAACAAAACAAAGACAAAAATACAGCTTTGTACCTGCAGTAGCCAAACCTACACCCTTTAGATTACATGCCCGATCATTTAGCTTAATTTAGCTACTCTGCCAGGTATTGGATTTTCATGTAGGGTACAGGTACTTTCTTTTAATGTGATAGTATAACAGAGCTGAGTTTACAGAAATTTAGTGTCAGCTCCGTTTGTCATCATCAGCCTGACTACGTCGACTGCAGGACAAAGGTCTCTCCCATGTTTTACCAGTCAAATCGGTCCTGTGCTTGCTGCTGCCATTTTACACCCGCAAACTTCTTAATCTCATCTGCATGCCTAACTTTCTGTCTCCCCCTAATCTACTTGACTTCTTTGAAAATCCAGTTAGTTACCCTTAATGACCAGGGGTTATCCTGCCTACGTGCTACCTGCTCGGCCTATGACCATTTCCTCTTCTTAATTTCAACTATGATATCCTTAACCCCGGTTTGTTCCCTGATCCACTCTGCTCTCTTCTTGTCTCTTAAGGTTACACTTACCACTTTTCTTTACATTGCTCGCTGCATCGTCCTCAATTTAAGCTGAACCCTCTTAGTAAGTCTCCAGGTTCCTGCTCCGTAGCTAAGTACCGGCAAGATGCAACTGTTATATACCTTCCTCTTGAAGAATAGTTTGTTATAGTGAACTGTTAAATTGAAAAGTTTTTCTGAGAGCAATGTCTCTACCTAAAGTGTTCGGGGATGCGCTTGCTCGTAATGTCAAAACATGTTTGAGCAGCCAAAGCGGTGATGAGGGCTAGTTGGTTTGAGTAACTTGATTTGTGGAAAAAAAAAGCAGAAGCGGACATCAGGAACTTATACGTAGAACCAGTTCTCATACTGTGTACGAGTTTCTTTATTGTGTCTGCGCCTGTTTTTTTTTTCGCTACATATATGAATCTGCTCTCTTGGCAGATTCATATATGTAGCGAATCTAGGCACACAAGAGAAGGAATCAGGACCCAGCGCCTGTCCTGATTCCTTCTCTTGTGTGTTTCCTTTTGTGCGCTGCCCACTATGGATATATGAATCCAACACAAATGTTTCAGTAAATGTTCGCTACAAGTTTCTCAAAAGCTACACTAGTCCAAGCATTTCTCATAAGCTAGTATTTTATTGCTGGTTGTCTTCAGTATTGTAATTAGATCATGCATGCAAGAGGAAACTTGCTGACTTGCAAGTTGCAAGTGCGTCTACCATGATTACCAGTTAACAAGCCTGTTTTTAGGATGTTACTCATGTGTTAACATCGGCCTTCTTAGGTAATTTATCAGAATGGGCCGAATCACTGTACATGCTTACCTTTACCAACGGGCCAAGGATTATACCAGTGTGGCATATTTGGCTTGTGCTTATGGCAGTATAGTTTGACACCAGGATGTCGACCTGTATGTGCCCATGAGGGCAGGTGCAAGGACTTACTTGGCATAATTATGCCAAGTAAGTCCCTTGGACCTACCCTCGTGGGCACACACAGTGCTTTCTACAAGAGTGATGAAACTCCCCTCCTCCTTTTGCATTCAACATTCCTTCTTAAAACAGCAATTTCTCAACGATTTCACGTAAAGATATATTTTATTAACTTGATGTTTCTTAGAATCACTGGCAACCTTTGCACAAGCATATGGTACCTGTTGTGAATGAGCTTATGTGGATGCCTAGATTCCCCACAGCAGTCAGGCACTTAGCAAGTCCTTTCTTTTCTGTGGAGACACTGTAGGGAACTTCGGGTGACTGTGAACAAAAGTGTAGCAAAAAATCTTGTTAGCACTTGAACAGTATACAAGTAGCACTGCAAGTTTACCTCTCCGACTTGCACCAGATCAGTGTTTAAAATGCAGCCATTATGCCTGGCAAGCACAATGCGCGTGATATACTTGGCCCAGTAGCCAGGAGAGTCACATTGCCCATCACCTGTTAGGTCAATTAGCAAGTCACCAAGTGCATCCACCATGGCTGCTTGTTTTTTGAGGAAGAGCTGGGAAGACGGGTTGCACGATGCATAGGTTCTTTTAGTATTCCACAATATAATCAGGGGGCGGAAACTCCCTGTAACTCCCATGTATGCACTCTCGGCAGAGACAGCACCACTTTTACCACTAGTAGTTGCCGGGCATCCTAGTAGAAATAAATCACAAACAAAAAATTCCTTTAATGACCTCACTGTTGAGGTCCCCAAGTAAAGAGAAAGGACAAAAAATTGAGAGGAGGAGGCTTGCAGCAGAAGCCTTCCTTTCCCACTTCGCATGCAACCGGTATGCGTTTGTGCCTTCTTGTAGGTTCATTGGCCGCTTGGGCGATGCGGCCATAAAATTTTAATAATCTTGTTTTAAATTTCGTTCGTGTTTCGTAAGAGGCGAAAGTTAAGCTGACTGATTTCACAGTAAGCGGAAACTCGATCGACACGAATGATATGCACTTTTTGTTGGACGTTTTGTATAAAAAGACAGGTACATACAGGTAGTGTGAAAGTGTCAATCTATAAATGCAGCTTCAATTTACAACTTACATATGGACATAATGAGCAAACGTTTAACCCAATATCCGAACCAATGTGAAAATTATCAACAATCGTGAGTAAGACTAGTTGTATTTGACTCAATCATGTTTGTTATGTTGACGGGCATACAACTTGAGTACTAAACGAGACTGAAGTTCAGAGGCACGAAGAGGCTTGAAGCAATCAGAAGTTCTTTGAGAAAAAATGTCGCTGGAAACAGTGTTGCGGCAAGTTGACTAGTCCTTGTTTGACGAAGTAAAGTTCACTTGTCAAAACGTTGGCTCCATTGACATTCTCTGTAATACTACTTATAAGCATTTAGTCCATCACGTGTATTCGATTTACACTATTAAAAATAAGGACTTGCAAAATTTTAAACCGTGTTTACAAGAATTTCATAAGTAGGAAGTGGGCTATAAATATTTGACATCATTTCAACTAGTCACCAAAAGTAGAAGAAGCTAAATGTATGTAGCTGAGCCAACTCAAATTGAAGTCTTTCAAAAAACGCATTTTCCAGACAGGAGCTTGGCTGCCGTCTTCACATTAGTCAAGCGACACTCCTCTTTCTCAGTTCAGTGAGACTTGTGGGGAACTGGGTTTATTCATATGTACTCATGCAAAATCAATACTTGCTCCAATAATTGCTCTAAGTTTCTGTGCTCTCCCATCAGTTTTTAAGAAACGCTGAAAAACCTTAGGGGAACTAAAAATCCCTAGGTTAGCACACCGCAGAGCCATGAAAAACTTCTGTTGCCCATTAAGCTGTCTTCGACAAATGCATGGTTTACTAGTTCGGCATAGCTCACTGCGTTTTGTTTTCTGTTCGCCCCAACTTGCTGTATTTATCTTTCTCGTGGTTGACACGGCAACCGACTGAGATTCGGCTTCTAATATCGCTGAGCGGGAGGCAAAAAGGAGCGGAGGCAAGCACTACGAATGCAAGTCAATCACTTTCTGCGCTTCACCTGATTTAAAATTCACGAAATAAGGAAAAAGAAAAAACATATAAACATAAGAGAAGTTCTTTACGGGGCATCGAATTCTTTTATTTGTTAAAATGTGTGAAAGCATATAAACGCGAAAATTCACATCAACCTCACTCCGTTCAACCAAATCTCAGGATGCCCAGCAACCGCTATGAGCGTGCATGTTTTTGAAACTGAAACTAGCACCAAGTTTCCAGGGCCTGGTATAATAGCAATGATGTTTCATGCCAACATGCCGCCGAGTATTCCACCACTGCTAGATTTTTATCACTGTACCAATTCATCAACTCAAACTCAGTTCACTCATGAGTATTTGCACTACAAAGTAGGATAAATAAGGTAGTATGCTAAAACTGTTTGTAGAACTATGATTTTTCTAGATGACGGGTTTCTAAATTTAAACATCAGCACGCAAATATATCAAGCTTTTTTTTTTTTTGCATCACAACCACAAAATCAGATGGGCTAGTTTTGTACAAGTTTTATACCAAATGACTTCATGTTCTGAATTTACATAACATTAACAAAGATATACAGAAGGAAGCAAACGCTTTGCTTTGCAATGTGTAAATCTATGGAAAAATTATGTTAAAAAATAAGATTCACTTGTAATGCAAGAGCAGTATAAGCATTTGTGTTCACGCTGCCTATTATGTCTACAAGTTTTGCTATAGTTATATTTAGATGTTGATCAATAAGTGCACCTGTTTAACTGCAGGGAGCAAGTAGGCCCTCTGGTAGTTGCAGAAAGCACACTCCGTGATGATCTGAGCACCAATGGACTTGAGGCATTGGACGGTTGTAGCCACCACGCAGCCCGAGTAGAGCATGCCAGCCACCAGGAGTAAGTTGCCGGCTCCAACTCGACTACCTCGAACAAGTGGCTGGCTTCTCCGCCGGAGCTTGTGCAGTCACTCGCACACCCCCTTTACAATGACCAGAGTTCCCATGACGATGAAGTTCAGGTTGCCATCTGCTTGGCCAGATATGGAGCAGTTAGCGAGCAGTTCACAAAGGGAGCTCTCAAACACAATGAACTTTCGTTCCCTGGGAAGAGGCTCTTCTACCGTTAGACCTCCAGTGCTGTTGTCTTGATGAGTACTGCAGATGAATGACCCCACAAAACATGTTAGTGCTTGTGTGTTGCTCAGTATTGCACAATAGACAAGTCACATGGCTTGGTTGAAAGAAAGAAGTGAAAATTTTAAGGCTTCATTTTCCTTTGATAGACATAATATTAATGAGAACTAACCTATCATAATGCCATAAAAATGTATAGGGGACACATTGTGCTATAGCAGAAATGCTAACACAGCTTCAGTTAACCATTGCAGGGAGCCTTTAGGTGCATTTCTTCGCAACCAGATGAGAAAACGTAATTTGCGCACTCTATTTTAATAATAGCCGGAAATGCGGCACAAGTGTCCTTTCACAAAACAGTCGCTCCTTGAGCCGAGTCTGGCATTGTTTTGAAGTCTTATATAAAGTAACTGGCAATGTCTTATACGAAATAGGTTGATGTATTGGCTCATAAATAATGTGTAAATAGTGTCACATGAAATCATTTTGCTGTTTCTTTGCGTGCACTGTGCAACTGCTTTGGTAGGTGGCAGCCCATTGTAGATGCTGCGCAGAATGTAGTTGTACACATGTGTCAAGTGCCCCTTCTTATTGGGAGAACATCTGAAAACCTGTGCAATATGTGCTTCTATTAAAAGAAAATGTTCATCACGAACCACCCTGTGCTTTCATGTTGAATAAGTCTTACTGCTTTCAAAAGGGCTGCGTTCAAGTCAGGCATCAGCATAATTGCTGTACTAGTCTTGCCGCTGGACCTAAGCGTACTAACTGCAGGGGAACGTGGCCTCCTATGCTCTTCATTATCTTGTTAGAGGTTGTGGCAATATCTAAAAACACTGCTGTATTATAGAGCATCATGATTGCAAATGAGTACCAACATTCTTCGCTTAGAAATCCTCTTGTCTAGCTAATGTCAATAAAGAGGCTTTATAAATGCTGCTTATAGAGTAAAACTTCTATATAAGATACACACATATAAGAGACAAAGTGGCATAAGAGATACCAGTGTGCCTAGATTGAAATAAGGCTGATAAGAAATTTAACATGGTTCTTCAATTGTTCGATTGCTCCCCAGTGCATGTGTCTTATACAGGTGTTCAACCTGTGTGGCCAAAATGAAGGGTGCATGAGGGGCCCACCCCACCCTCCTTGAAATTCGGAAGGAGGATTGTGTTCTACTGAAAATTAATAATGAAAATACGAGTTTTTCAAGGCCTGCGAATAACTGTCTCAAGTGGTGGTTTCAGTATGTGAACTAGTTTGTGACTACATGCCCATCACATGTTGAAGATTACTGAATTGCTAAGCATCACATATTGTTAAAGATTTAAACCTTGTTGTTAGTCTACCAAAGACTAATGCTTGTAATACCTGCAAAAACTATCGCTGTACGAGGGCAAGTATGTGACATCAACTTCAGCAGCTGGCCTTAGTTCCTCAGCAGGGAAAGATACGTCCATTCGGACAGTTGTTTCAGCAGCTAGCTTTTCTTTCTCAGCGGGGGAATATTCATTCATTCATTCGGACAAGTATTGAGCCACCGAGAGGCCTGAAACCTGCTGGGAGCTGTGGCACTGAAGCAACATCGGCTGAAGCTGCTACTGCTGCTTCATGTGATGAAGCACCACTGTACACTGCAGCTTCTGAGGTGAAAGCAGCTGCTGTCTGTGAATTGGCCAAAACGAGCACCTTCGGTGTCATGTCCACATGTGTAGCTGAGATGGTTATAATACACTCAAATGAACAAAACTTCTTCGATTGGTGTCATGCCTAGTTGTTTATCATCATGCATTATTCCCTGCTAGTTCTTTTTTTGTTTATAGGAGCTCAGGTGTGAATATTGTAACTGAACAGCTACTGTACATTTTATGCCTTATACATGCATTTTTCAACCTGTAGGTCAACTTACCAACAGACCGGCATTCTACTGTCTTCCGAGTTGCCACTGTACTGGTGGTTGCCATGCACACAGTTTTCTGTGAGATTTTCTGGATATGAGGTGGTTAGAATAAGCATATTATGCTACACCTGCACTTTTGCTAAACTGTATATTTTGTGCATCACACTGTCTTTGTGGTCATGTGGCATCAAAATCACTTTACATTAAATAGCTTGTGTTTGTTTTAAACAGCAAACACGCTTACAAATATTAAAATGCTTCTGGTTTTTACGATGACTTCCCAAGTGCCAAGTAATGTTTCAAAGAACACAAAATAATTTCACATCTGGGAGCTGCGGAAATCGAGCTGCCTTATCCAACATCAGCTAGTTGCACAGTGTGTGGCTGCATATGTTACTGAGCTATTTTCCATAACATGCAGCAATGCTATGCAACACATATACATTCCAACTTTTGTGCAGTGCAAATGTACACAAACAAAACAG